TTACAGCGGGTAAACTAATACGACTTATAGCTCTTATAAAAGAAGAGATATTCGGAAAGGGGGAGGGGGGGAAACAGGGAGGGGCGTTTGTTCCTGTTCGCCTGGTGTGTACTATGGCTACAATTATTCATGCTACGCAGGGCAATAAGCCCGTTTTTTACGGGATAAAACGAGCGACCGAGACGCATGAAAATCGTACGTATTTTCGACACGTATAAGCCGGCCCAGGCCGTGCTTGGACGTTAGATATTAGATCGAACGCCCTTACAACTGTCGCCGTACGTAATTAGGGGTGGCTTCCCCCAACGAAACAGATGGCAGCCCTTAGGCTACGAGATAATTTTGCGAAGAACAGTTGGGAAAGTACCGCGGCCCGTGGTACAAGCGAGAGAGCAAAGAGAGAGGGAAAGAGCGGGGGGGGGTGGGGCTGGAGGGATGGAGAGGCTGGAAGAGAGCGAGAGAGGGAGGGGGGAGTACGAATGCAAGCTAGAAATGTGGGAGTTGCACACGAACGGTGCACATGCAAGGAAGGAAAATGCGTGGCGAACGCGCGCGCGTGCCAATTTGCGAGCCAACATTCGTTATCCGAAATTTCTTCGATAATTCATTGAAATTAGATAAGCGCGTGCGCGCTGCGGCGGCGGTGGCGGCGGCGGGGTAGATACACCCAAGCTCGTACACGAAGTACGTATTAAACGTAACGACGGTGAGGCAATCGGCAGTAACCGACTAAAGCGGTTTTATTCGTCGCTCACTGCGATCAGATATCGAGACAATGAGAGGACCCTCCATATTCTCAATTGTGCACTCCGGGATCTATCTATCTTTAGAGTCGGCAGGACTCGCTACCTAAGAGATTGCATTCAAGGGCAGTAACACGCGAATTGAATGACCACCGTATAAAATTCGCATCCACTAGCGACCGCCACCACGATGATAATGGCCTCTCTCTATCCCGATTTCAAGACCGGCAATCCGCGCCGTGGGTGCTCGTAAAGACGATTGGATTTGGAGATCACCGTTCGACCACCCCGCCTCCTGAAAGGGGCCTCAATGTATGTACATTGTTTTAGTAGTAGATTCGAATGATGGTCGATCGCAATTTCTTTGAAATATCCGAGACGCGTCCCGACAAGCTTTATCTTAACCCACCGAGTGCCGTCGTAGGCGGCCCGAAAGGGGATCTAATACGTACCGTTCTTACCAGATTCTTCCTACTTCGCCGCGAAATCTCGGAAATTGCTTCCCTGGCGACTATTTCTGGGATCGCAAGTTGTTCATGTGAATGTTTTACGCGCGATCCAAAGCTGTCGCGCGGAGGATCGAGAAATACATATATGGATATTTCATAATGGGAACGATTTTAATTTTCATGTAAAGATTAACACAACGTATCAAATTACTTCTCTTGTTAAGTGCCGCAAGGTCCCGGCGACAGAATTAAACTGCTGCTCCCCTTCGAGACATCGGATTCTCAAACAGGTTCACATAAATTATTATCGATATCTGAAAATTATTACTATTCGCGGACGAGACGAATTTATGTATTTTTAAGATGTTTTTCCAAACACGGTAATTTAAAACACGCGTGCGCGCGCGCGCGACACACACAATACGTTCTCTATAAAAAATTTTCATAAAGAAGGCGAAGAATGAGGATGAGCGAAAGGCGCGCGCGCTTTCGTACGTTTTCAGGATGAGCGATGCGCAGTACCGATGTAAATGACACCGTGAGGAGCATTAATCTGCATCCGCTCTTCTTCGTCGTACTCTCGGCGGCGGCCTTCGAAAATTGTATTCACTCGCCGTTTAGCCGTGTTATACGCAAAATAATAAAGTGGGAGCAAAAGGCGGAAAAGTAAAAGGCGCGGGAGAAGAAAGTGTCGGGGCCGTGGGGCTTAATGCTGTGTAAGTAGTAGCCACTGCATTACAGCCAGATTCATTTGCATGCACTTTTACATCCTTCCGTCCTCAAAAAATATTTATCGCCCAAGGTTTCACCATGACGCCTCGCTTATGAATTATGCATGTGAAGCACGCGCACAGGACGTAGCTCATTCCTAGCGCAATTTCGCCATTGAAGCGTAATTTCAGCAAGCTCGGTATTAGAAGCCCTCGAGCAGCTTTTATAGTGCTTACGAGGGAGAACGAAAAGACGTGTCATTCGGAACGATGATCGCCCCAATTGCTCGGGCGGACGATGAATGAATGTCACGCGTGTACCGCTCTTGCGCAACGTGTCGTATGAAATATGACATTGCATAACAGCGTGTGAGACACACTCGACCCTTTCGTCTTAAATTACATTATCGGTCCCTTTCTGCGCCTGGCTTTATGCCTCGAAATGCTCGCGGATTGCACCGCGGTTTACACACGAGACGTGGTATTTTATAAAATTCAGCGATGCATTTTGCGCGAATTGTTTATCATTTGGCTCGCAACAAGTATCGTCTCTTTTGGAATTTTTTTCCAAATTGTCGAGAGAGTCGAATCCTTAAATATTGAGAATCGAACGGCCAGATCGAACCGATCAAATATAAAGTTTAAAAATTTCTACCTCGAACCGTTCGAAAAGAGTCTTCATTCTTATCTTGGAGCAAGGATCAATGGATAAATGAAATCAAATTTTCGCATAGAAATCCGATAAAATCATGGCTAGGTACAAAATATAGTAGATTGATCCTTGGGCGGATAAGCGACGAGTCGTAGGTGATATTATGTAACGTAGGGGAGCATTATACGCGCTACGCTATTCTCTGCGGCAAATTTAATGTGACCAAAATTGAACCCGAGACTACTACGCACTGATCCAAATCGTCCATTTAAATTGACGCACAAACAAATGTAAGGGATATCAACGGAGATGGACAGTTTATACGTGGATTGTTACGAGCTCTGGCAACATGTGCGGCCGCTGATTGACTATAGAGAATCGCGGGCTGTATAGTTAATGGTAAAATCACACACAAAGCATCGCCATCGTTATCCTGCAGAATGAATGGATAATATTCTATCTATAGCGTAAGACAGTTACACAACAATGTCGTCAACGAGTCATCAATCATCTCCATTAAAAGCTCTATCAAGATGCCAATTTACGATACGATTTATAGTCTAGAGGCCCGTTGAAATGGGCCTCTAGACTATAAATTTCAAGCAACACTTTTATATCAGAAAAAATAAGATATTATTGTTATCCTTTCTAGAACAGCAATTTTACAATATTTTTGTAAAAGTGATGGAACGTAAAATATTCTGTTTTTCTAAAGCAGAAATTCACGCGCGCACAATGCGCACACATATATACATACATACCAATGAAGATAAGCATTTCACGTAATAAACAATCTGACTGTTGAAGAACACATTATAGTCGTCTGGAATAAATTTTTGAACATGAAAATCTATTTGATATAATATCTTTTTATATATATTTATTTTGTGAGACGCGCAAGGAAGTGAAACAACTTCTCGCAGCTAACTTGACTTGTTTAATTTTGAATATAAATTGTCGAAACAGATATGCGCGAAAAATGTTTTAAAAAAATTTCATAATATTTGACGATAAGTAATAATATAACATTACAAGCGTGCATTCAGTTTTATCAGAAATATATTTTTTGAAAGACAACTGACGTCCGTGATTACATTTGCAAATTTCGCAATTTGCGTAGTGATGAAAATTGAAAAGCGTTTAATGATAAAATCACCCGCATGCAACAATGTTGTCTTGCGAAACGACATCTCTGGAAAATAAACTGGTGGTAACATCACAAATGAAAATACCGCGTCTATGACCGCGTTTGTTTCACTCGGCACCTTGGTAGCGGAATTTTGCATTACCATTCGTTACAAATACCGGAAAAATAATATTTTAGAAAAAATTGTTTCAACCACTCACATTTAATTGGCGAGCGCCTATTGTGTATTTACGTATTTCGCGTTAAAAAATAAATTATGTATATAAATTTATACATATACGTATATATGTATGTATATACACACACACACACATGCACATACTCTTATTTTGTCCAATAATACTTTTAATTGAGACGAATAGAGTTTGCAACACTAGGTTATCAAAGGATATACGAGTTACGATAGCAAAGTTATCGTGCTGGTTCAAAAGGTCGTTGTATATAACTTTCAGCGTTGGAATCACGTCCCTCATACGTGATATTTCTCGCGCAAGCTAGAAAAGATATTAAATACTTACCTTTGAAGACGTTAATAAGTTTTATATTGTTCGCATTTTAGTAAATACAGAAAAAACACATTTACATTGCAGTACACAGACGTTTCATGTACTTTTTAATTTTTATCCTTACAGAAAGTTAAGAATTTCAAAAAAATAACGACAGAAATTATTTGAACAATATTACGTTTCCGGAACGTTTTCTCTCCCTCTCTCTCTCTCTCTCTCTCTCTCTCTCTCTCTCTCTCTCTCTCTCTCGAAATGGGATTACAAAGAGCTCATCAACCATAACATTTTTGTTTAAGATACTTTTCCAGATATTTATTAATTTTGTCGATATTTGCTCAGAATCAAACGTGTCATGTCGGTTTCGAATTTTATCTTCAAATCTTAAAACAGGCGATTGTAGAAATATATATGCCCCTTAAAGTTTGAGATACGGTATTTGAAGGAGAATCAAGTCAAAAGCTGCGATACTTTTTTTTACAGTACCGAAAACCGAGCACAGACAGCATTGTGCCTTCTGCTGTTAACAAACAGAAGCGTCGATGTCGCGTCTCTCTCGAGGCAAGACATGTTTCCGCGCCTATCTCGCGCAATTTTCAGAATCGCCGTTTCGCAAACGCTCGAGTAAAACTCTCCTCAAACTGTCGCATGAGGCAGAATTAGCAATCAATCAAACGGCCACAAACGGCGGCACATTAACAGCCGCGCGACTATCTAGCCGTCCACACTATCCGTCCGTCATGCGTGTTCCTTTTTTCCGGAGCATATCTAATCAATAAAGGAATTTGAACGTTACCAGTAGTAAATGCTGCGAATGTCGGCCGACTATTCAGCAATAGAAGGCAAGCGAAAACAAAGACCGTCAGCATCCTCGGTAGAAAACCAACGGTCATCCCCTTCTTCCTTGCAACATGTAGCCGCATCACCGGTACCCGATTAACAAATCCCACGGCACGAGTATCATCCGCGCAAGATCCACATTCGCATGCTATCAGTTCACCAACGTAGCAGTAGTTCCTCCGATCACTGGCAACTATCCCGAGACACTCGCTCCGTTCTTTAGATACCCAACGAGATGGACAAGTGGTGGTGGGGCAGCTGTCACGTCGCCCGGAACAACGTCCGGCGAGATCTCTCATCGGGGCAGACCGGCCTAGCCTACGTGAGAATTTTGTAAAAAATTATGTCCGTCCGATACATCCTAGACGGTGCGCGTCCAAAGAGCGGAAGATCGAGCGACGGGGGGGGGGGGGGGGTGCGTGTGTATTTTGTGTGCGTTGTGTACGTGTGCTGCGAGGCTGCTACTTGTCGAGTGCTCCTCGGCGAACACACTCGATTTTCGAGACGAGTCGGCGAAATTGCCGAGAGCTCGGCTTCCCTCCGCCTCGCCGTGTGTCGTTTGTGTGTAACACGCGTGTGGCACCGAGATTTGATACTCGTCGGACGATCACGGAGAGTCAGTTACGTGTGCTCGGCTTGGAACGAAACGGCAACAGCTCCAACATCTGCACGCTTAGGACGCCCGGCGTCGACTGACGTTCATAGAGGAGACCAGTAGAACCGGTCGACGGCACACGCCGCTGTCCCGGCGCCCGGCGTCACGGCGCAGATCTCTGCCACCCCCGCACAAGACCCTCTCACCCTTTCCTGAATCAGGCCAATCGGCGCTTGCGAGTCACCGCCCATCGTGTTGCAGGGGCGGCACCGCTCCCGAATTAAGATTTTCGACTTTTCTTAGTCCGGTCTACCTCGGTCTAGCTATCTGTCTGTTCTCCTTCACCCTCTGCCCATCCCCGGCCTCGCACCCTCAACACGCACTCTTTCTCTTTCGCGCGCCGCGCCGCGTCGCGTCGCGTCGCGTCGCCCCGCGCGTTGCTACCCCCGCGAGCGAAGCTTTTTGTCTCTTTTCCTTCTTCTTTTCTTTATAATTATTTTGCATTTCGACCGCGACGTGCTTACTGCACCCCCGAGGAGCAGCGAGCCACGCTGGGGATACACACGGACACACGGGTAATTCGTCCTGTGCTCTTTACGGCCTGGAAACGCAAGTATTCGAGAGTTTCGGAACTGGCCGCCGAGTCGTTGGGCTTTCCTCCGTCTCGCCGAGACGGAGGCTCGGTTAATGACAGCGCTGCTCTTTCTCTCTCTCTCTCTCTCTCTCTCTCTCTCTCTTCGTGTGGCTTTAGACGCGGTAAAGGTACATTTTTGTTTCTACTTTGCACGCGCGCGCGCGCGCGCGTGTGGTAATGAGCCCCGATATCTGCTCCAATTACTTCGCAGCGTCATCCGCAGAGTATTTTGTATACATACGCGATGGAGCGGTATTACGCTAATACCGCGAAAGAGTATGCAACGGATATTAATTTTACAACCTTTCCCCTGTCGCGCGGGGGGAATTTCAATTTATTCGCATAAACGTAACGCGCGGATAAACGGCAATTGATTTTACCCTTCGCGCGCATGAAATAGACGCTGATTAAAATAATATCGAAAGAGCGAGTGCCGGAAAGTATTAAGCACGACGCGTTCCAGCGAGCGTTTATCACTCGCTCGCCTTGCTCGCGGCTCGCGATTATCAAGTGCGAGCTTCCGGGCGAGAGGAAGGTTGACTGGAAACGCGCGGTTCTCGCGACCCGAGACCTATTAAGTTTCTTTTATTGAATAACAAGAGCGGCGCGCAAAAACGGGCTAATAGAAATATACAGTCCGCGCTTACCGAAGGGTAACATCGCGGAACGAAACGTACGACGTGCAAGACTGATGAGTACGGTTGATGGTGGAATCATGTAGGATGCGGCTGCAGCACCATTAGAATAATATCATCCATTCTTTATCAAGAAGCAAGTCGGAGATGCGCCGTGCGCTCATTTCACGTGACATTTAATTCTCGTGAAAAATCGCAGGCGAATTTGCCCGTACGAAATAGAGCGTAAAACTAGCGGGATGAGTTTAGACGTACTCTTTCGGGTTTCGCGACTCGAAAAGCGCGCGCCGCTCGAAAATGTCCAAGTGCGATATTCCGCGGACGATATGCAGGAATAATACGCAGGAATAATAGCGGCGAGGAACCTGGACGTAAATTCGCGTAAAAATTCTTTCGAATGTGCGGGTCGTTTCAGCGGCGCGATTATTGATTGTCTTTTCGTCAGAATTCTCCTCCACCGCGTCTTGCGGAGGCCGAGGAATAAAATGCGTTTGGACGGGTCTAAGTGAGATTATAGGCTCGTGAATAGCTTGCTGATGAAGTCGATGATTTCACGACGACCAATCAAAGGTATGTCACGTCTCGCACAAACATTTGCTTTTCTATCTTTTTTATCTTTTTTTTTTTTTTTTTTTTTTTTTTAACAAGAATGTATGCAAGAAGTAATTTAAATTCAAATTTTACCGATGGCATTCTAATGTAATTTTTGCCTCTATGGCAGATTGGATTTGACGACGATGCTAGTGTACGTAAGACAAATAAACGCGTTTTATTGGGATAAATTTCACATTTTCATGTTAATTCTAATTTTAGCTTTTTTAGCTTGACAAATAATAGTAATATGCAGAATGTCCGACGATACGTGCAAAGCTCTCGTGTACGTGTAGGTTGGGTGAAACTGGAGAAAAAATTCCTCCACCATTTTGCGACCAAGCGCGTAAAATTTCGAGTTATTAATCAGAGAAGATTGGCACATAATCGCGCGCAATTATTCGCAAATACTCTTTGATTAATAACTCAGAATTTTACGTGTTTTTTTTTTTTGCAAGATATGTGGAGGAATTTTTCCTTCAATTTCACCTAATTTACACTAGAGTTACACATGTTTACATCAAACACCCCGTATGCCTCTGCATCACGAGAGTTTATGCGATAACAAGAGAGAAACTTGATTTTTCTTATCTTGCATCTTGCTATCTTCTTATCTTGCTTATCTTAGCATCTTGCTGTTACTGAGGCACTAGAATTTTACTTCAATCGCATACGCTTTACAGACTTCTCTATAGTCATTTTAGGATTATATTACACGAAGATTAGGATTAAACATGACAATTACGTTCTGCTTGAGATTATATTTCGCCCTTATTGAGATTATCTTCGATTCACCAACGGACTTATCGGCATTTCATTCGATTGCCCATAATTTGATCGCGGCACTTGATTCATTTAGGATTGAGCATCCTCCTCAATCATTGCGAAGTAAATCGTGTTGCTCGCCGAGTATCGTCGCTCGTATGATGCGAATAATTTCTCAACGGCGATAAATAAAGTAGTTTCGAAATGATGAGAAACACTGGCACTGGTCGGATTAGTCTTAGACAATTAAGCACGTTTTTAAAACTGAAATTATCCTTGTGACGTTCGTCCAGGTATTCGTTGAAGCTCCTGTCAACGAGCACTGTGCAGGGAAACAGCCTGTGAACAATTATATAAAAATAACGAGGAATCGTGCGAATAACAGATGAAACGGAACATAGACAGGCTCGTGACGAATGCATAAGTCAGATGCATATCGTCAAGCAGAAACAAGATAATTGTATCGTTCTATCGTTAACAACACAGAAAACAAGGACGTGCAGTCGTTCGTTAAAAACAACGCTTTTCCCGGCTCTCGCCTAATATTCGCGATATATTCTCGTCGGTATTATGTTGTTTATCTCATCTTACTCGGCAACCGAGAGCCGAGATCGGCATCTCGGTTATCTCGTCCGAGGAATTTTCCTCGAGAATAATTAACCGTATCTATCGACTCGTACTGCGAGTTTGGTACTTTCGTCGTTAAGCGAAACTTCCGCGCTTACGCGAGAACTGGCTCGCCGTGGTGATATCTTTGTTACTGTTACAAGGTCATGAAGGGGCTTGGATAATAAGCATGAGATTTCACTAATACCTGTAATACGAAAATCGCGGAGCTTTCTCGGGTGAGATACTCGCGACGATCTCGAATCGATCTAGCGATCAACAAAGAGAATGCAGTTTTCGAGGCCCTTGCGATTGCTAATCGCAATTACATCAGATCGGAGCGGAAGCGAGAAATCGAGTGAATTTTTTCCTCGCATTGTACATCGAAATAAACGCGTTTCTTTGTACGCCAAATGTTTACGCTCGATAGTGCATACTGGCAAAATATACCACAAACTTTTTCTCTCTTTTGTTTTCTGCATTATCAAACGGATGTATAATTCCATCTGCAATTCCCTATTTTTTTTTCTTTTCTTTTTTTATCGAGATTTATAGGTATTTATTAATACGCGAAACAAAATGACAGAAGTCTCGTTATATTTTACCGATCGGTATTATCGCATGCGAACGATGGTACACGAAAACAACAAATTTCCACGTATAGCATGTAAAAAATGGCTTATGTTATCATCTCTCGTGCGCACAGATGCACAGTGCGCAATGATGTTGCTGCAACAAGTAAGCTGAAGAAAGTTTCGAATGTATTGTAATTTTGCGAGAGTACGATGATTAATTGCAATTACATTACCGCAAATGAAGTTTGAACAAGCGGCACAATTAAACTCGCTCTTTGAGGAGCGATAGTCGACTTTGTCGAGATATTTTTGAAATACTTTTTGTTACGTTATATTTGCGTTTACTTATTACAAGAAAGATCCCGCGCGACAACTGTGAATGCAATATGTATAATAACGCCGTTGCGCGGCTGATTATCACGGCTGAAAAAATGTGCATATATATACCGTGGCATTCGGTATAAGGCCGCAAATGGTTCGGCTGGGTATTGAATCCGAAGAGAAAGGGGCGAACGGAGAAAAAGAAAATGATGTGACAATCAGAGGCGAGTTTTTGTCCGGGACACATCTGGTCTCTTATTTCCATTTTCTCCGTCAAATGATTTCTTTCCTACCGCTAACTGAAGAACCCCGCGCACATGCCGTCTCTCCGAGCACATCACCTTCCCTAGCGCTCTCCTTATCAATTCGTAAAGTTGAATGACATCCTTCGCGTGATAAAATAATTCTCGATTAAGTGACAATCTTTAGGGGCTGGCGCTTCTGTGCGCCGCTGCCGCTTCCAGTAATCTCCGCGTTCTTCCCGCTATTCTCGCACACGAACGTTTCCAAGAGTCGAAGAGTGCAAATATTCTTGACACTTTCGAACAGGGCGGAGATGCGATTACAATTTCTTCTCGAACGGAAAGGGAATATATATGTACGTTTTTTCGTCTTGTTGAATAACGTAAAGTTATTTAACCTGTACCTGCACATTTGATCGGCACCTGTATTGTTATTTTCCAAATTGCCAATCGTGTTCTCGTCAGAGTACTAAGTACAATGTTTGGTACAATGTTTGGTAAATAAAAGTTTGCAGAAGCTTACGTGCATACTAAAACGATTGTATATCTCCACAACGGTAATATATCGCGACATGCTGATCTCATGTAGATAATGTAACAACATGTCTCCACCTCGCAATATGGCGTAACAGCTTGCACGTGGAACAAGCTGTTGCGTTATGTGCATTGACGAGTAGTAAAAATACGCCCAGCATCTGTAGGACTTTGCGACTAATAACGAGAGAAAATTATTATCGATCGGA